GTCAGCTTGCCTTACAAATTACGAGAGTATTGCATCTCCAACGAAGTGGGTTAGTAAGGATACTCTCCTCATTTGACCGCGGGGTTGTATTCTCGAGTCCTAATTCACGGAATCTCCGATCACATATGTTGGTTTACCCCCATGGCAACTTACGTGGGTTTTTTGCCCATCTCCCTCGATGCATTTTCTATCACAACCGTGATAGCCCTTTCATGAAGAGATCAGCTAGATTCTTAGCCGTTTGGATGTAATCCAATGCTATAACTCCAGAGATTCTAGGATGTCGGACGAATTTTAATCTTCTTCTTATGTGCTTTGTGGATTGCATATTGTCATTTAAGCTCTTAGCCTTGGCAATCACCGTTTTATTATCACAGTTCATAAGGATGGCCGGGACTGGCTTATCAGCCACTGGCAAATCCATCAAGAGCTCTCGACACCATTCTGCTTCGACGCATGATGTGTCTAATGTTATGAGTTATGATTCCATGGTTGGTCCCGTTTTGATCGTCTGCTTACATGCCTTCCAGAAAACGGCAGCACAACCAATATTCAATAAGAAAGATCTGCATTCTGGACTGTAATAGCCAACAAGAAATCGAATCCGTGGCCTAAAGACATTCTTCATGGCCTTAAAACTAACTTTCAATATTCAATAAGAATCAAAACCGTAGCAACGCAGATGCACATTTGATAGTGAAAGTACCTTCCTACACCCGAGCTCAAATGCTCCTGGTGTGAACAGTAAAATAAAAAAAATTCAAAGAATTTTGATTTTTTTCGTGGCATACTTTAAGAAATGTTTGTTGTACATGCAAAATTTCATCACGAAATCACATTGGTAGAAGTCATGACAAAAAAAAACAAAGCTCCAAAATGCGTTCAAAAGTAATATTTTCAGAGCATTGATTTTTTTTACTACGCCTTACATCAATATGATTTCGTGGTAAAATTTTGCACGCACAACAAACATTTCATAAGTATGCCACAATTTTTTTAAAGAATTTTTAGAATTTTTTCTATTTTAAAATTTTACTTCACACCAGGAGCATTTGTGTGCAGGTGTAGAAACTCCACGTCCATTTGATAGTAGTTATATAAGTGAAAATGGTGGATTAGTTCGTCTGATTAGAGCCATATCTTTGCTTTATTTTTCATGCAGAAACACTTTCGAAAAGCACATAAGCGCTCTTAGATTATATAACACATTTCTTTCTTTTCACAATAATTCTTGCCGACATGTAGCTTTGAAAGGTATGCAGTACTTGATGTGGACTTTTTTCTTTAAGAAATCTACTTGATGTAGAGTGATGAGAACACTTGTGCAGTAAACGACGATGACCCAAGACCAATAGCTTAGTGAGTCTTCCAGCGTGTAATATGATCCAAGACCCACGACAAAATTAATTAACCATTCTTGATCGGTAAAAATAAGACTCGGCTCGCTTCCGTCATCCACGGCCCGCGCACATCATGACGAGGCGAGGCGGACGGCGGAGGAGGAGGAGTGCGCGTGTATAATTCCTCTTCTCCATCTTCTAATGACATGTGGTAGAGTAACCTTTATAAAAGGATCTCACTCTTACTATTGTAGCAGTATGATACTAAATTTCCCACCACTTGTCATGCACCTAAATGGGCCTTAGAGATTAATCAGGAATTATTGTCTTATATAGGCCAAAGCGCACCTATAATCCAACAATACCCCACTAGATCTCGAGGCACATAGTTTGTCAACTGTTCCAAACAATGTTTGATATATCAGAATTTTCAGTGGAGACTATTAAGTTAAACTTTTACCTAGAGCAACAGGATTACACTTCTTCAATGGACCATGCCTTGAATTGTCAGTTTAGTGTGCTAAAGTTTCGCCTGTTGTCAGCTGATACGTGGTTGCCGAAGGCTAAACCCTATGGGTGAAGCTTATTAATCCTACCCCTTATCTTCTCATGAGCTTTCTAAAGATTACCCAATCTCATAGACTGTGTGACCAGTAGTCGGGCTCATATAGGTGTGTTCCTTCAAAGAATGCTCTGTAGAATAGTATCTTACTTACACAACTTTTGAAACACATTAAGACAAAAGTCAGCTGCCTTACAGATTAAGAGAGTATTGGAGTGTGTTAGTAAGGATACTCTCCTCAGTTGACCGTTGAATTATTTTCCCAGGTCCTAATTCACGAGATCTCCGATCACATAGGTTGGGTTACCCCATGGCTACTTACGTGGGTCTCATACCCATCCCCCTCGATGCATTTTCTATCACAATCCGTGATAGCCCTTTCATGAAGGGATCCGCCAGATTCTTAGCCGTTTGGATGTAATCCAATGCTATAACTCCGGAGTTTCTAGAATGCAAGACGAATTTTAATATTCTTCTTACGTGCTTTGTGGATTGCATGTTGTCCTTTGAACTCTTAGCATTGACAATCACGGTTCGATTATCACAGTTCATAAGTATAACCAGGACTGACTTATCAACCACTGGCAAATCCATCAAGAGCTCTCGAAGCCATTCTGTTTCGACGCATGATGTGTCTAATGTTGTGAGTTCTGCTTCCATAGTCGATCCCATTAAGATCGCCTGTTTGCAAGACTTCCAAAAAACAGCAGCACGACCAATATTCAATAAGAAAGATCTACATTCTGGACGGTAATATCCGACAAGAAATTGAATCCGTGGCCTAAAGATACTCTTCCTGGCCTTAAAACTAACTTTGATATTCAATACGAATCAAAACCGTAGCAACGCAGAGGCACATTTGAAAGTAGTTATATATAAGTGAAAATGGTGGATTAGTTCGTCTACTTAGAGCCATGGCTTTGCTTTAATTTTCATCCAGAAATACTTTGGAAAAGCTCATAAGCGCTCTTAGATTTTTTTTCTTTTTTGCAGTTTGTGCAATGATGGTCTGATCCCTAGCACCTAATACAAAACTATGGCGAAGCAATAAATTATAAAACACATTTCTTTCTTTCCACAATAATTCTTGCCGACATCTTTGAAAGGTATGCAGTACTTGATGTGGATTTCTTTAGGAATCTACTTGATGTAGAGTGATGAGAACACTTGTGCAGTATACGACGAGGACCCAAGACCCATAGCTACTGAGTCCTTCTAGCGTGTAAATAGTGTGGTCTGTAAATATTCCTCGTCTTTCATGACCCAAGACCCATGACAGCAGTGGTCAGCAGTAGCGATCTAATATTTGAGAGGAATGGAGACCAGTCAGCAGCAGAAAGTATCTCCGAGCAAGCGTGTGGTAAGTAGAATACCAGTGACGCGCCTATAAATTAAGAACAATGGTGAACGGGAAGAATCAAACACTCCATACTCCAAACTTGTAAACATATACGTATATGCTTTGTTGGTCTCGTCTCTGCCCTGCAGCCGAAGGCGTAGCTCTTATTCCTGCCAGGAAAGAAAAGGAAATCCCCCAGGTGATTCACCCAGAACAATCCATGAATTCATGAATATCTGCTAGCATATATTATGTCATTTATTAACCATCTAAAAATTTCTCCTTTCGCATATATTACATACTGAAGATCGATCTAATTCGACCAGCGCACGTACCACTAGCTGCCCAGCTATGAAGGTTACTGCTAAGACCCGACAGTTGCTTCTCTTGGTGTTGGTGGCTTGCACTGCACATGCCGCCATCTGCAGCTCCTCCTCCTTGCATGGAAACGAGACAGATCGACTATCACTGCTGGGATTCAAAAATGCAATCAGTCTCGATCCGCAGCAAGTCTTCATGTCCTGGAACGATAGCACACACTTCTGCAACTGGGAAGGTGTCTTGTGCAGGACAAAGAAGACTCTACCACATCGTGTCACTTCTCTAAACCTTACAAGCCGAGGTTTGGTAGGAGTAGGACACATCTCTCCTACACTTGGGAACCTTTCATTCTTGCACTCTCTAGCCCTGACGGAAAACTCACTTACCGGGGAGATTCCGCCCTCCCTGTCACTTGCGCCGCCTCCAAACCTTGCACTTGGAAAATAACACACTGCAAGGTAGGATACCGAGTTTTGCAAACTGCTCGAAGCTCAAGGATCTGCGTTTTTCATTTAACAATCTAGTTGGCCAATTTCCTGCTGATTTGCCTCCTCGCCTTCAGCTGTTAAAACTTCCAGCTAATAACCTCACTGGCACCATCCCAGCTTCTCTTGCCAATATCACAACACTAAAAGTGATTTCCTTTGCATATAATCACTTCAAGGGAAATATCCCAAGTGAGTTTGCAGACTTGTCCAGCTTGCAGACCCTGTATGTTGGTATCAATCAGCTCACAGGTAGGTTTCCCCAAGCCATCTTGAATCTTTCTACACTTGTCGGCCTTTCCCTTGCTCTCAATGGTCTAAGTGGGGAGGTACCACCAAATTTATGTTCCTCACTTCCCAATCTCCAGATACTTCAATTGGGAGCCAACTTGTTTCGAGGGCACATTCCTAGTTCACTTGCTAATGCTTCCAATCTAATCTTCATTTATTTGAGCCGAAACCACTTCACCGGATCGGTGCCCAAGATTGGCAAACTTACCAACCTCGCACATTTGAATCTTGAAAGAAATCAACTCCAAGCACATAGCAGGGAAGATTGGGAGTTTTTGGACAGCTTAGGCAACTGTACGGAGCTACAAGTGTTCGGGATGGGTTGGAATCGTCTATCAGGGCAGGTACCAAGTTCATTAGGCAACCTTTCGAGTCAAATCCAACGTCTATACTTGAATGAAAATCAACTATAGGGAGGTTTTCCTCCCGGCATAGAAAACCATCGCAACCTGTTTGTTTTAGCATTGGAGGGGAATCATTTTACAGGTGTGCTTCCTGAGTGGATTGGAATTCTCAAACCTTTGGAACAAGTTCGTTTGAACACAAACTTCTTTACAGGGATCATTCCATCATCCTTGTCCAACTTGTCTCAATTGGGATTGCTCACTATATTCTCGAACCAGTTAACTGGCCATATACCACCAAGTTTTGGAAACTTTCCAATGCTTCAATATTTGGACATTTCCAGCAACAATCTTGATGGTAAGATTCCAATGGAGATCTTCAAAATACCAGCAATAAATATAATTAATGTATCTTTCAATAACCTCCACGGACAACTTCCTACAAGCATTGGGAATGCTAAACAACTCATAAATTTTGCGTCTTCATCAAACAAGCTATCCGGAGATATTCCAAACAGTCTGGGTGATTGTGAAAGTTTAGAATACATTGAATTAGACTCAAATATTTTTATTGGAAGCATTCCCACTTCATTAGGCCACATAACCAGCCTCAAAGTTTTGAACTGTTCCACCAATAACTTAACTGGGCCAATACCAATAACTCTTGGCAACCTACAATATCTTGAGAAAATAGATTTGTCATTCAACAATCTTAAAGGTGAGGTTCCAACAAAAGGTATCTTCCGTAATGCTACTGTTGTGTGGATTGATGGAAACAAGGGTCTTTGTGGTGGGGCACTGGAGTTACACATGCCAGCATGTTCTATTATGCCTTCAAGTTCAACTAGACACAAGAAATATTTAGTGCTCGAAGGAGTTATACTAACAGCCAGTATGGTGTCACTTGCTATTGTCATATTTGGCTTAATTCTCTGGAGAGGAAAACACAAGAGAGAATCTATATCTTTGCCTTCATTTTCTACAACATTTCCCAAAGTTCCTTTCAATGATCTAGCGAGAGCAACACAAGGATTTTCAACATCCAACTTAATTGGCAACGGGAGGTATAGTTCTGTATACCAAGGAAAACTATTTGAAGAAGAAAATGAGGTTGCAGTAAAAGTCTTCAACCTCGAGACAAGAGGAGCACAAAAGAGCTTTTTTGCGGAATGTAATGCATTGAAAAATCTTCGGCACCACAATCTGGTCCCAATTCGAACTGCATGCTCAAGTACTTATTCTAATGGTATTGATTTCAAGGCCCTAGTGTATGAGTTCATGCCACGAGGAGACTTACATAAACTACTATATTCAACTAGAGACTCTGAAGGATCTTCAAAGTTGAACCTTCTTACAATGACTCAAAGGATGAGCATTATGGTGGATGTAGCAGATGCAATGGAGTACCTACACCATAACAATCAAGGAACAATGGTTCATTGTGATCTGAAGCCTAGCAACATTCTTTTGGATGACAATATGACAGCTCATGTTGGAGACTTTGGCTTGGCAAGATTCAAAGTTGGTTCCACGGTGTTATCTCTTGGTAACCCAAACTCTTCTTCGGTTGGACTAATGGGGACGATCGGATACGCTGCTCCAGGTAACAGCCTTATTATATCTTGTGTTGATCTACATTTGTCTTAACGAGTGAAAGAGAAATCAACTCCTCTTTTTATCCATTCCATTTGTAGAATATGCAAGTGGTGGTCAAGTTTCAACCGCCGCAGATGTTTACAGCTTTGGTGTTGTCCTCCTCGAGATATTCCTTGGGAGAAGGCCAACTGATGACATGTTTAAGGATGGACTGAGTATTGTGAAGTTTACAGAGATCAGTTTACGTGATAGAGTAATTGAGATTATCGATCCTCAACTGATACAAGAGTTGGAGCTTTGTCATGATACTCCAATTGGTTTGAATGGAAAAGGTGTATGCTCTCTGCTATGTATGCTAAACATTGGTCTTTGCTGCACCAAGACATCTCCGGGTATTCGCATCAACATGCAAGAGGTGGCTGCCAAGCTACATGGTATCAGAGATGCATATATCATAGAGAACTGAAGTAGCACTTTCGTTGCTTATGTAGCATTAGCTATCTTAACAAGTACATTTTTGTAAGATTGGCGCTTGTTGCACAGCCTATATGTTAGGAACGGATTTACGAATTTCAAACCTTGTGTTTTGTTACTACATCAGCCAATCGTTGTAAATCTCTAACGTTTGTAACCTATCCCGATATAGTGAAATTCGTTGGCTGGAGCCCGTGGTTTTTTCCCTTCTCATTGGAGGGGTTTTCCACGCTAAATTTCTTGTGTCCACACTGTGTTGATTTGATCTTCTTCGTGTTCTTGCATGTCGTATTTTTAACATCTTTGTTTTGGAAGCAAAATCATCGCCATCCTTAAACAGAGTGAACAAAGACATATCATCTATACCTACCACCTCGTTCATCATCTTCATGTATGATTGTTGACTATATTATTATAATTACAAAAGTAATGAACAATACAAATTTTCATGTAAAATTATGATTGCGTATTGTACAAATTAAACAAACGAAAACCAATTTTTTACCTTTCCTTCGTTTCATCATATGCCTCATTGGCATTGTACATGTGGAAGTCGTCATCGTCCTCAGGGAAGGCCAACAGCATCTGCAGGGGCAGACCCAGGACAAAAACGTCCCGGTGCTCGCATGTACGCCATATATGGGTAGATACCAAGCAACAATGTATGTAAAAGTAACATACTCAACAATTTAAAAGTTTAGTAATAAAAATGCTTACCAAAAGCAAGTGTTCGACATGAAAACTTGTTCATATGTCGAGGCATTAATTTGCGTGTGTGATGGGGCATCACCTAGTTCATGAGGCAAAGCGTGCAAAGGATAGAGCTATATTGACTGTTTGCTTGCTCATTTCTTCCACATAAAATTATCTCTCTCCTGGAGCTGACCTTGGATAAAACTCAGAACTTCCTTCGGTGATGCTTATGTGAGACTGCATGTGCGTAATTTATTCTGACCCTGTAAGGAACTGGAAACTCTGCCTCTTGATGACATTATCATGTGGTGATCCTACTATGAGCTCTAAATGGTCATCGTCTTTTAAGTCAAATCTGGCTTATATATATTAGACTTGCAATGTGCATGTGCTTTGGTATGGAACGAGAGGAGGATATTATCAGTAGTGTGTTGAGCACTTGTGGTCTTCTTGACGCGGTTCTAGCGACTGCGAGCTAGTGCCCCATTGGGGATCGAGTGTCATGGTCTCATGGAGGTGATTGAACAAGAGGAGTAGGGAGTGGTCATGGAGGTGATTGAACACGAGGAGTAGGAGTAGGTAATTGAATTTCAAACCCATCTTAACCGAGATTGGAAAACAAAAGCGGCAGGAGGAGAGGGATTGGGTGAGAAGAGATGGCAGCTGGTTATGCAAATGGTTTCAGACAAGTATTTTGGAACGGAGGTAGTAGCTTATTGCGCTGCTTGCTATGCAATGACTTGACATGAATGGTCTGAAAATGCTTGATGCAATGCTATATGTCTGAAAATGCTCGACACAATGACAGCAACGAGTTGGAGTCTGAAAGTGTTCTATGCGATGCTGGTTATGTTGGAAATGATGTGCTACAAGCATGCTGACCGCAGTAAATAAATAAATAAAATAGAAAGTACACACAGAAGCTAAAAGGGCTGTCAAGCCTTATGAAAAGCAGTTCTGACAGAGTGTGGCCTTCTTCCTGATGTTCCCAAGATAATAACTGCCATATACCCATATGTTTGGGTGTGTGTGCAAAGAGATCAGCAGAGAGAAATATCAATATTGTTCTTCCTCGCCTCCTCCCGCCGCTCCCTGGCCTCCCGCTCCTTCCTCGCCTCGTCGAATCTGTATCCCATTATTCCCTTCCCTGTCACGTTGTACTTGTATGTGACCATCATGGTAAGGGCGATGCGGCCAAACAGCAGCTCAGGCCCTCTCCTGTAATAAAGCCACCATCAGCAGATCAGATATGTTGCAAATCTCAGCAACAATTCAGAAAATAAATGAATTTATGAACAGTTTGTTTGGGAATAATTATGAAGAAATGAGCAACGAGAAGAGGTTGAAAATGGCAAAATCATCAAATAAGGATGATGTATGCAGTACCAGTTTTCGTAAAAAGATTCTATTGCTCTCTTGATGTTATCAGCCGTCCAGGATCCATAATCCGTACCATCGGAGGACATCATCCTCTATAAATCGGAGTAGCTAAATAAGTTACTACAATCAATTTTTTTAAAAAAAAGTTACTACAATCAATTTTTTTTTAAAAAAGTTACTACAATCAAAAGGAAGCTGAAAATCACAACTAGTCGAGCCTCGAGCCAAGGTAGGGAAATACTACTGCAGGCTTACAATCCCTCCCAGACATACGAATACGCAAATTACCCGTCGACAAGCAGAGATGCCTACGTACGTACGTACCCGGGTGGTGTAGCTGCCTCCGCTGCTGCCGGAGAACCGACGGGCCAGTGCCGGCCGCCGGAGCGCGAGCCCAGTGGCGGATCGGAGCATCGCCAACGCGGCACTTGTATTGCTCGGGACGGCAGAAGATCGCGGTGGTTGAGTCGGCTGAAGACCGCCGGAGCGGGAGCGTGCGTCTTCGACGTCGACTGAGGTCTCAGGTCGCGACTCGCGATCGCCTCAGCCTCTGGGTCTCCAGCGGCCTGGTCCAATCCTACCCTTGGGCGTATAAGCCCTAGAATTCACCACTGATTCACCAAAAAAAAAACCGAATGGAAATCATCGATGCAGACCAGGAGATGCCCACGGCCGCGATCTGTGAAGCAAATCGCCACCACCCTAGATAAGAAAACATCAACAAGGGCGAGTAGAAACCGAGCTTTGGTTTCAGCAAAAGGCCCAACTCAAACAATCAACCATATATTGTGTTACATCTTCCCATTTTTTGAGACCTCCTGTTTTATTAGTCGAGGAAATGACTGAAGGACCTTGTATGGCCCGGCCATGGAACGCCCCATTTACTTCCCCGATTTTTATAAAAAGTACTTTTGAAGAAGCATTATTTTGTGAGGGTAGAAAGAAGCATTTCGGTTAAAGGTTATAATAATTGTATTTAAAAAAGTTATTAACACACGCGCGAATTTCATGCATTCATGGAAAAAAATGAAGTGTAAAAAGAAAAACCATAAACATAAATCGAGAAAAGGGTGAAAAATAGACAAAAATGCAAGAAACAAAGAAATAAACCGAAACCCAAAATGGGGTGTCCACACGCGTTTTGTTGACATTTTGATGGGTTGAGCATCAGATATGCATCATCCAATTTTCCCTGGGAATCCTATTTGCTGCTCACATCGACAAATAATGAGAGTTACGCCTTTGTCCCAACTCCAAAGTGGGTGGCCGGGCCCAATAAGATCGGGACCATCTTCCGATTCATTTTCACATTTTTGCTGATGCTTTTTAGTTCCTTTTTTTCTGCTTGTTTTGTTTTGTGTATGGGGAAAATACATAACCACTTGTAATCTTTGTGTGTGGAAAAGGCCTAAGGCCATTTATTTAGTATCACATGTCTTTCCATACACCCTTACAATACATCCAAATTCTTAGGAGTGTCGAATTATTAATACCCATGCATCCGTTGGTGTGGCATGGCGTGAGCAAAGCTTATTGCCAGCTCTAGACCTTCTCTGATGGAGCGAACTTGTTTAAACCCGGAAGCTTGTAAAAGCAACAACCAGGAAGTCGTCAATGTAGACCAGAAGACGTCGATAGTCATGATCTGTGTAGCAAATCACCGCCACCAGAAGAAAACACCAAAAAGAGCTTGCAAATCCTCTGAAGAAACATATATTCTAACACACATGAACAACTATTTTCAAATGCATGATTTTTTTTAATCTGAATTTTTCGTACAAGGTTAAAAAATATGATACGAATATTACTTTTAATATATGAACATTTATTTCTAGGTACATAACATTTTATTTTTCATATACAAAATATCTCAATTGTTAAACCGTTTATTTTAACAATACATTTAAATATTATTAAATAATAAAATCCGGTGGCCAAGGAGGAGGTCGCTGATGCGCAGTGCAGAGAGGGTAGCGAGCGTAGAGGCTTTGGCAAAGGCGGCGAAGTCGAGGTTGAAGGTGAGCGGCATGGGCAGTCACCAGTTGGGCGATAGGTCCACATCTTTGATGTCCGAAAAACTACGAGGTTGATTGGCTTGTGATTTTCAATACATTTAAAACTTTCTAGCTAAATACCCGTGCGATGCAAAGGGGGGCAACTTTATTCTAGTAGTTCAACATAGGATGATTTTGATTGGATTGAGACTGAGATATGCTACGAGGAGAGAATCTGTAGGCAAATGTAAGGACATATATGATCTATAGGGCTGGAAAAAAAGCTCGAAGCTCGCGAGCTAAACAAGTAGCTCGCGACTTGGCTCGAATCGACTCGAACTCGAAGAATAACGAGTCGAGCCAAGTTTTAGTTTAAGATCGTTTATAGACCAAGTTAAACGAGCCAATCTCACGAGTACTCGTATAACTCGTTAGGCTTGGTACCAGGGCCGGCCCTGGAACAGGGCAGCAGGGGCGACGGCCCAGGGCCCAGCCAAACTAGGGGCCCCGACCTGTGCTGCAATGTGTGTATAGTAGATGATATAGGCCCTGATGAATTCGTAAAAGGAAAATGAAAAAGAAAAAGTTTGTAGGCTGAGAAGCCCATCATCCAACTTCTAACAGAAGCCCAATTGCCAAGAGGCCTCAAGAAGGTACGCGCGCACAGGAGCGAGGCGGCGATTCCTCATGTCTCCACGCCGGTTCGTTTTCTCGTTCGCCTCACAGATCGGGCCACCGTCGGATGCTTGCAGGAAAGAAAGGTAAGTATCTAGAGAAATTTCTCTTTTCTTTGCCCTCAATCTTAATCTAGCTAGTGATTAATAATATTCTTCCTTTTACAACAGTATAGCGGCATTGGAGATTTGGAGTGGAGTTCATGTGTTGCCGACTTGCTCTTCGACTTCTAGTTTCCTTGATGATTAGA